TTTGTAGTTCGAAGAGGAATCCTTAAGTCTAAACTACAAATATTTTCAAGTCTGTTAAAATATATCAATTTTTTATTGAAATTAAAGTGTTATTTTTCTGTCATAGATTTATGGGTTAATCTTTCCCCAGGCCTTTATGTTTTAATTACTAGATTTGTTTTCAACCACTTCTAATTTATTTGGTAAGCAAATATTTGTAGGTTTTTATTCATTATTCTCTTATTTTTACCTGTTTTATTCATTGTGTTTTTCTCTTTCATTTTTTTTGAATTGTACAAAGGGGTTTATGTTAATATTTCCTTACATGCATATGTAAGATACTTTGACTATATTCACCCCCTACACTTTCTTATCCCCCCTCTTCAGCTCTGTTTTCTAATTTCAATGGTTTTCATTATTCTTTTTTTATGCATGCATATAATGTGTTTGGATCATATTCTCTCCATCACTTTCTCACTTTTCATTCACAAATTTTACTTTGCATATGTTATGGTGTTTATACCTAGCATAATTTTACATGAGTTGACAACTAATCACTCAATAAAGAAATTTATATTTCTATCATTGATTTGAACGTTCATGTTAGCACACATGTAATGAGGAATATACAGACTAAACCCCTTGAGAAAACAATATGATTATGAAAAGTATTACTTTGCTTCATTGACCTAAAACAAAAACCTGCCAGTTCCTTCACCAAATCACGTACTGCACCTGATAGTACTAAAATTTTGTTTCCTCTGAAATGAAATTGAAAAGGATTACTTTGTCATATCTGCCATGTATACATATGTGTACATGTGCTACACAAAGAAAATGTGTTATTATATATTTATGTTCAATATAACACTTTCTCATATATATGATACATATATACATATTACACGTATATACATATTATACATACACACACACACATTATCCTTGTTTTTTGACTTCTTTTTGAATAAGGAAACCTGACCTAGAAAGAATGAGGGAATAAAAAGTGTTCACAAAGTCCATGTTAAGAAGAAGGTCCCCATTAGCATTGTGTTTTGATGATAAGTTGAAGTTACTACACACTTAGTGTATCTACTGATCTCTGAGTGCACACGTTGGCCATCATAGTCCTCTTATAATTGAAATATTAATGCTAGTGTGACATATTTAAAATTATGAACAAAGAAGTTTTCCCAAAATGTTTTTTTCATGCTTGTAATGAGGCAATTTCTATCCAGTTTCTTTCTTCCTTCTGACTTCCTAAGTATTTCATGACTTGTCACCATCATTTTGAAGATTTCTGTTTATGCAAGGTCAGAATGAAGGGGAGGAGAATAAGAAGATTTTCAGTTAGGCCTGAGGCAGTGTTAGGAAAGTAATAAGAGATACTGCCAGAGAAATGATAAGAATGCCAAAAGGGTTATAAGAAATATTTCTGTGATCTATGTATCCTCTCAACAATGTCTGTGAAATGGATGCTCTCAAATTTGAGGTTTTTTTCAGAATTGATTTCTGGAAACTGTACTCACTCTCTTTGATTGCAACACTGCTTTAAGACTGTCACTTAACTGTGAACAAATCTACAGGCTTAAAAATTTTGTAAGAGACTTTTATTACTTACTCTTAGGAAGTAATAGAAGAGAGTTTCCTCAGTCGTAGATTTTCTTACCTAAGAATCTTTCAGAGATCTGTAGATGTGAGAGGTACACATCAAACGTGTGTACCTCCTGTTTGAGTAAACCAATTTAGAAGTTAAAAAATTAAAAGAAACATTTTGAAAATGAGAATATCTGCAATAGTAAACCATATCTGTTTACATGGAAGTAATTAATTTTAGGTATGTGCCCCCATGACTAAGTCAGGGAAGGTAGCTCTGATGGTTCTAACAACAGTGTACTGCAAATCTTCTCACTTGTGCACTTCTATTGTGCATCAATCAGCAGGGACACAATTCAGGAAGCAGAACTTTTCAAAGACAATGAGATAGTAAACAAAGAAGCTTTGCTTCGGAGGCAAAGCAATAAAGAGTTTTGCAGAGTTTGGGTGACTTTTTTTCTCCTCTAATTCAATTTGACTATGAAAATTTGTTGGAATCAGAAAAGCATTCTTTTACTTTTGAACCTAGATTTCCTGACAAACTAAGTCAAGGTAAAAAGAAACAAATATTTTAATTTAATTTATTAGTCTCTATATACAAGAAAAAATGCATTTATTAATGGCATCTCTCTCAAATTTCCAGAACCATATTGAAGTTTCTACCAGTAGAATTTCCTTTTCTTTTATTCTCTCAACTGTATTTTATTTATTTATTTATAATATTTAAAAATAATACATGTTTTCTAATGACATAGTCAAACAGGACTGAATGACTATAGGTAAAATATCTTTAATCCCATCTTCCATCATTCCCACAGCCAGTGTCTTGATATATTTTTACTTCGTTATTTCCACTTTTTTTTGTGTGTGTAGTATTGAGGCTTGAACTCAGGGCCTTCACCTTGAAACACTCCACAGCCCTATTTTTCTGAAGGGATTTTTTTGAGATAGGATCTTGCAGAGCTATTTGTCCAGGCTGGCTTCTAACTGAGATCCTTCTGATCTGTCCCACCTGAGTAGCTAAGATTGCAGGTGTGAGCCACAGGCACCAGGCTTATTTCCAATTTTAACCATTCTGATGATTAATCCTAAATAGTATACTCACTTCTTTTTATTTCATTACTTCTCACCATAGTTTGTTTATTAACAAGCAACTATGTAAGATGAAGTATCTAATTAGTACTTCTTTTTCCCTGTTGGTTTTGTTTGTTGTGTTATTTTCAGTTTTTCTATTATTTATATAGCTCTAATATAATTAATACTCCATTACTCATTTTAAAACTCTAGGAATTATAAAGAGCAGAATTTAAATTACCTGACTAATTATGAAAACTGAACCTTATTATGTGTTGATGTGTTGGCAGCTCTTTGGAGAAACATGAAAGTGATCAATCGCAGAACTCTCAATATTGCAATTTTCTTGTGTTTAGCACTCTAGCAGAAGTACTCAGCTTTGATTTTTAAAAATGGTACCTAAGAAACTAACATTTTTTTTCCCCAAAAGTTAGAGACTGCTTGGGATTCTCTGATTGTGGGAAGCAGAGTAGGACTGACAAAAATCCCTAGATTTGTAAAGCCTTCTTTGGGTCTGAGTAGAGCTACACTTGTGGAAAAGCTCTGAAAGATTTAATTAGTTGAACCAGGACTAAAGTAGCTTAAGTATAAGCTGACTTCGACTGATATAGATTCTTCTAACGTGACTAGAAAGAGTTTTTCAAACTTTAACTCCCTTGTTCAAACATATTTTAAAAAGCCTCAATTTCTTTTCAGTTTACAAAGAAATTCAGATACTGTATGTGAAGTAAACTGAATATTGAAGTAAACTGCGTGTGAGAGAGAGACAAAGAGGGAAACAGAGAGAAAAAATGAGAAAACTGAAGAGAGAAAGAGGATGGGAGGAAGATCTTACTGGGAGTGCTTTATGTGTGCGAGAGACAAAAAGCAAAAATGATTGGGATTTAATGGAGTAATTTTTATATTGATTTGATATTCTCATGATTTTGAATTTGCATTTAAAGAACAAAATGTTAGTAAATCACTGCAAATTGCACATTATGTTTAATAAAACACTGTGATATTATTTAGAAAGACTGTTGAAAAAATGAACTGGGGAGCTCCTAAGATTTGTGAGGTATCCATTTTTGGTTACTAATTTTCTTCCACTATCACAATTTTAATAAACATGATAGTTCAATATCTTTGCTCTTTTAAATATGTTATCATTATGCATTTGTACTGAGAATTTGTGCTATTTGTTTTGCATAAGGCTATATGACATATTTCAATGTTCTGTCACTCCAAAAGAAATAATATCAAGGAATGTCGCAGTACGTTCTCAGAGTGTGAAGTGATCTTGAGAGAACTTTATTTCCCTTCAAATTACCATTTATATATTTGAGAAGAGAGTTTCAAAAACTTAAAGCTGTGTTTCCCAAACTATGTCATAAGGATATTTGTCCATGAAGAAGTTAATGGATAATTTCTTGAAAATTATATTTCAAATAATACCATTTTCTTAGAAAGTCATGAAATTAGCATATTTAAATCTCAGAAAACACCTATAGTACTATAAGTATGTATTAGCTTTTCAATACTTATTTATAATTGTTTCCCAAGCTTTCTATATAATAAACTTTCCAACATTGAGCATATGGATTACTTTTTGTCTCCCAGTACTCCTATTACCAAAATATGGATCTTCTCTTATAATGGCAGAGTTGAACAGCTGCAAAACAGATCTATGCCTGGAATGCCTAAACATATTAATTTTATGATCCTTTCACAAAAAGGAAAAAACTGCGCTGCAATTTGACTAGGAAAATGACAATAGGCTACTACTGGACATCATATTAGAAACACTGATTTTAAAATTGCATTATCATTTTAAATAGAATTAATAATTTTGCATACCATTATTGTTAAATGTACATAACTGTATAATATATAGCTAAGTTTAATTATATAAGAATCAAATAGTATGGCTTTGATTTCTATTGAAATAAAGCATATATTTAAAATTTTTTATTGTAATGTAACTAGTTTATATGAAGCTATAAATATGATTTAGGAAGGAAAGAATATAGATATTATTCTATAGTAGAAAGGGAAACTTTCCATCACAAATTATTTGATAGTCTCAAAATTTCTTTTACAACCTGTCAAAACATTTAAAATGCATTGTTATCCTTCTTTCTTGATTTCTTCAAAGGACAAATTCCTCACATAATGTTCTATGCACATAATAATTGTGTATTCAAATTCAAAATTCAATTAAGTAGTATGTGTGTTAAATTATATATCTTGAAATTTGAGTTGAACTACTGGCTCAGATGATATCTAGTTGTTCAAACTAAAATATGTCGGTGTCAGTTCAACACAAAATATGAGAAATGCAGCTGAACTAAACTCTCTGAATTTTTTTCTAGGAAGAACTGAACCCCATTATTGTTACCCCACCGATACAAGCCATTGATCAGGACCAGAACATTCAACCAGCATCAGATAGGCCAGGCATCCTCTACTCAATCCTTGTTGGTTTGTATTTGCTAACATTTTATACTATTGATTGTCACTCTAGAATCATGTTGAAAATCCTCTTAAAGGAAGTCACTTTAATAACAGAGTTTTTCATACTAGAAATGATTGTTATATATAAATAATTGGAAATAATAACATAACGTTTTTTTCATTTCCACAATGAGTTCCAGTAAAATGTTTAGAAAAACAAAGGAAATAATTTTATGGAAGAAGCAAAGCAAAATGGGATCTTATTCTGCATATTTGTGGTTTTTTTCATGTCACCTCATAAAGCATTCTGTAGGAATAAATTTTTTAAATCAAAAGAAAACCTTTTGCTCTACTAGTATTTTATCATTGGTTGGATACTATATGCAATTCTGATATAACATAACCTGATTAAATAATGGTTATTTGAAACCATATGGGAAAGGACGAAGGATCATGATTACCCCAAGGGCACATGTTACATTATATCCTTAGATAAGTTTTCTTTGAAAATTTCTTCAGAAACTGCCCGAATCCATCCCTATGCATATACTGCTAATTGGGCAAAAAAACAAAAGTGAAGAGAATTTGATTGTGCTGTTCCTCTTAAATGACTTTATTAAAATGTGGATGCTGCTGATTTGAATGGGTTAGAGGCCCTACAAAGACAATGCATGATGGAAGGAGAGACAGACCATAAATCTCTAATGAACAAGGAAGGCTTTTCAAGTTTGATTGGAAAATGACTTCAGTGGAGTTCAAGATTGGTCCTTGTCCACAGCCTGTGTGCACACATGCATATACAACAATTAATGGACATGAGATAGTTTCTAAAGTATTATATTATATTGGTAATGCTATAAAAATGTAATAATATAAAAAAATTCACGTATTTCTGTTTCAAACACTTGGTTATTAAACAATACTTATAACATAAGGGAGTTACAGAAATCAATAAATCAAGAGGACCTTATAAACATGACTCTTTGAAGTCTATATTGGTGTTGGTATAGGTAACAGGAAATAAGCATTGTTTACTTCATTAATTGAAGAAGTAAATCATTTTGATAGATGTAGTAGAAACAGAAATTAAGTGATAAATTTTCTAGGTTAAGGAAAAGTGAGGTTTGTGGTTAGAAAGGTGTCCAAAGCTAAATTAAAACACACTGCACATATTATGTGCTTCAAGTGTAGCATGAGGTTACATCCCATCAACCTACAACTATAGAATAATGAATATTCCCAAACAATGGAGTGGTCTCCTATAGTTCTTGCTATTTCAGCTAAGTGAATAGAATGCAGAACATTGTAAGAATTGAAAGCATAGTCTCTGGAATTTCACTATTCATGTTAAAATCATAACTTTAACACATACTAAACCATAATTTTAGTTTTAGTCCTCTTGATGACTCAAAATTATTCCTTTTAAATTAGCATTGACAGAAAAAGGCCTTTGTTAGAGGATTTGACCTAACATACATAAGACATGATGGTGCCTGGAGAAAAGATAATGCTAAATTAATGCTAGGTAGTGTTGCTATTATCTTAGAAAGAAACATAAAGCATGGTTCCTCAGTCGCATTAGACTGGCATGAATAGAAGTACAAAAATAAAACACAACACATATATTTATACAAACAGGATTTCTACTTTTGCCTGCTTTGCCAAAACTCCTTACTTTCTTTAAGATCATTCCACTTAACTCTGAATATATCTGTTCCTTAGAGCTAGCTCTGAGTTACAAAGTAGAACTCTCTTCTCCTGATTTTGGAAATTGTGAATAGTTTCTGTTGAATAGATGTGAGGATATGGAAGTTGGTGTCAGAAAGACAAACCAATGGTGATTGCTAGCCTTATTACGATTATCATCAATGTTGGACTTATTGCCACTGCAATTCACCCTTGCAATCAAGTCACTTCTGTCACCTTGATCCATTATTTTCCATGGTATATGCCCCAACAAAATTAGAGGTATGGGACAGGCAGGGAAATATTGAGTGAAAGATACTTAGTGTATGTGCAGAATCAATAGCTCAAAATGGAGTTTACCCTTAAATAAGGTGGCTTTTTAAATGGGTGAGTAAAACTCTGATAGATTGTTAAACAATGATCTTCCCATGTCAAACTATTGGGAACATGAATTGTAGTTTTCAATTAGATCTTATACTATACTACCTCAACTGACAAGTAAAAAATAGAATTGTCTTTTGAACTCAAATTCTTCATAAAATAGACATTGAATTAGATGAATTAATTAGTTTCTTTGAGTACTTACAACTCAAATTATAACTTTAAGGAGATCCCTTGTTTGTTACAGTTAATATTGTATAGCAAAATCACTATAGTCATAAGGTTAGATGAAATTTTAAGCAATTTAAGTATATATCACATATAAAATTAACAAAAATACTCAAGGAAAGACCTCTGAAAATTTACACTACACTATGTTTCTGATGAATGTCTAGCAAAGTTCCATATTAAAAGGTTTGTCCCAGGATGATACTAAAGGAGGTACAATAGACCTTTAAGAGGTCACTGGGGACACACTCTCAAAGGGGATTGTAGGAATCTTGTTTCTTCCTCTCTTTTTGGCGGTTCAATATGTGAGCACTCACTATGACTTGTAATTCCATCAGTGCTATCTGTCAACCTCACTTGTGGTCCAAAATAATAGGGCCACCCAATCTGGGGCTTCAACCTCTGAAACTGTGAGCTAAGAAAACTTTCTTTTCTTCTTAAGTGGCCTGTCTCATGTATTTCATCATAGTAACATATAGTTGACTAATATATACCTCCATAAAAGCAATGGGAAAAGAGTAAAAAAAAAAAATTCCAATCAAATTTATCAGAATTCTGGAAATTAACCAAGGCTTATAACATCTCTGGTTTAGGAAAAATGGCATAAATCTTGGTAATAACAGCTTTGTGGCATTTACTTTTATGTATGTACCCCCTCTGTACTGTAGCTCAAAGAAGAACATTAAAAAATAGCAGTCTGAATTCTCAGGGTAGCTTGGTAGCCACTGCAAAGGTTAAAGTAAGGTAGTAATTCTTTCAAAGTCTCATTCACAAGGAATTGTTATGGTATGGTGTTTCCCTGGAAGAACCCTATAAAAATTCTGCTCAGAATCACCTAGTACACAATACTTCTTCCTCAAGGGCATCTGTCAAAACAACAATGGGCAAATATTTACCTTTTTGGCTGCCTAAATTGATGAATAACTGTTAAGTCAAATGAAAGGTTAAATAATAAGCTCTAAAAGAATGCAAGAAAATGGTGTCCATGGAAGACTTAGAAAGCTTCTTCATATTTTTGAGAATTTAGAAGTACCCCAGCAAGAATTATACTGGGCATATACTCAGAAAATTCTTGGAAAGGCTCTTAATTCTCATCTTTGTCTCTCTTTGAGGCTGCAAAAACAGTAGTGAAATAAACTGCACTTATATGGAATTTCATATTCTAAGTTTGAGTATTAAAGATATGATCCAACAGGCACATAGAGATACTCAACAAAACCTAGGATGTGTATTGGTTCCATATGTGTGAAAATTTCTATTCAATTGTTATTTTACCAATAAACTAAATACAGACTTCAATGACTACACAAAACAAAGCGAACAAACTTTAAAGTATTAAGCAAGTTCAACAAACCCCAAGGAGTGGAATAATCTGATTTCTATAGTTGTTACTCTTTGTAATAGGCAGTTATGAATAAAATTATGAGACCAAGGAGACACTATGAATCATGGCAGATTCAGAAAAAAAATATATCAAAAGAAAAAATTTTTGAGGAATTTCAGACATTGGACACATTAGGCAAAAACTTTTAATCTCTTATTTTAAATATATTTAAAAAGGCAAATGAAAGCACATACAAGGAACTAAAGAAAAGTATGGGAATGATGCTTTACCAAAAGGAGTCTATAACACAGAATTAGAGATTATAAAAAGAAGCAAAATCAAAATTGAAAAGTGTTCATGAAATAAAAACTTCACTACATGTGCTGAGTAGCAAATTTAAGCAGTAATGAGAAAGAATCAGATAGCTTGAAGAAAAATCAACTGATATTTTCAAATCTAAAAAGAGGAGGATAAGAAATAATGGAGAAAATTGATGTAATTTCAGATTCTACAGGACACAATTGATCATAAGTTTGAAATTATTAGTTTGAATTTTCTTTTTTGTTCTTTTTTTATTATACTATTGTTATATTAGGGGTACATTATGATATCTACAGAGGTTCTCAAAATATATCATCATTGGCAGGGTGCCAGTGGCTCACCCCTATAATCCTAGCTATTCAGGGGGCAGAAATGAGGAGGATCACTGTTCAAGCCAGCCTGGGCAAATAGTTTGTGAGACCCTATCTTGAAAAATAATGCTTTAAAAAAAAAGAGTGATGGAGTGGCTCAATGTGTAGGTCCTGAGTTCAAACTCCAGTACTGCTAAAAATTATATATACACAGATATATCATATTTGAATTCACCCCCTCCATCATTCACTTTTATTCCTCCCTCCCCCCATTCCTGGAATAGTTTCAGCAGGTCTCATTTTTCCATTTTCATACATGAGCACATAATATTTCCACTACATTCAACATCCTATACCCTTTCCTTATATTCTCCGCACTCTCAATGGTACCAACCCCCAGACAGGATCTGTTTTACCTTCTTGTTCTATTTTTGAAAAAAAAAGTATTTGTGTTTGTTTAAAATAGGTCTACAGGGAGTTTCCTCTCAACATTCCATATAAATAATGGCTAAAAACCTAAAGAATTGATTCAAAACTCTTCTGTTTGTAGACTTGGCCAGAGAATAGGAAAAAGACACATGTTCTATCTTGGGAAGTCCTTGAAGTTATATTCAGTGCATACCATTAGACTTTCACTAATCCTTCTTCATTGAAAAATTGTATGGATATAGTGATGTAGTATACATAAAATAACGTTAGCAGTTATTAAGCACTGTTACAGCATTGAGTCATTTAGGCTGATAGTATAGAATAATTACTACCTATTATCAGAATGA